GCCCATTCTATGCTGCCCTTTCTATTCCCTCTGTAGCCTGGTCGCGTGGTACTTACCATGGGTACAAATCAGTTGATGTGTCAACAGTAGATCGAATCCTTGGAGGAGATCGTGTATCCAAATGATTGCATCATGCCGATCCACTCCGAGGATTACGTAATCTTCACAGATGATGACGTAATCACTGACGCGCCGTCGTCGACCACGAGTCTCAGGGCTGGATCGGGTCACTTCCCATCGATCAGCTTTCTTGTTCACAAAGGCCAACTGGCGCTTCACCACAATAATTACTCACGTCTCTACAACATGGATCAGACGCTGACTTTATTGACAACCCCGGAAAATTAACATGGGCTACAATGAAACACGCAATATTGACATCGTTCAAGGCGCAGCCGAAAATACAGAACGATGCAGCGTTTTTGTTTTTGCTTATTTTGTGCACTTCAGCAACAGGAGTAAAGCTGAAGTCATTTATTGCGTTTGCGGGAAAACCGGGGCACCGAGTTGCTAGTCAGGTGACATCGCAGGCCATTGGCTGCGTGTCCGTGGGGCACACAGTACAAGAGAAAGCCTGGTACGACCATTCCATTGTGAAGGTATGAATTTCAAAGGTATCTTTGTCTCTATTATTGATTTAAATCTGATTTTACTACTTTAGGATTTCCTTTGTTAATCTATTAAATTTGGCGTCCAAGTGTCACCGGGCGCCTAGTGCTACTTTGGACAATATAAAAGTTCACAAGATGGCATTCGCGAAATGCTCGAGACCGAATGCACGACGCTCCCACCGGGTGTTACTGCCTTAGGTCAGCCAATGGATGTCAGCATAATGGGGACCTTCACAAACAAGACCGAGTAAGTTTGTTGTTGTTGTTGTATTTATATACTCATTAATTTCTGATAATAAGTTTTTGTGTATAAGTTTTAGAGACCTTTACGTATAGTATTATACCGAGCATCCTATTCCTGTTGACACAGAGAACGCCGTGTGATGCTGTCTTTCTGGTAGCAAAAGTGTGGGACATGGTCAAGGCAAAAAACTGGAGTGTATTCTTTGCATCCCTGTTCTACCATTTCCGTGTCTATTGGCGCTGCGTACAGTCGCTCGCTGGGCCCTGCAATCCTGTATAAGTTCCGGCTCGAGCACAACCGATCGGACAGGGGTTAAATTTTCCCAACGGTGCACCTACCGCTGTCTGTAGAAGTCTTTGAGCTTAATGTACGTAACGGAATATAGTTTGTGGACACATGACAACCCCGTTGATCGTGTATATCACCCAGTACAAACTCGAGAGAACAAGGAGACTTTACCAGCAGCTCTACGCACTTTAAAAGCTCGTATTGATGCATGGCGTGCCCAACACGCAAATTAAATGATTCATTTCGCAACCTTGAAGGGATTTGCACTTCGGCGTCTGACTTAGCAGCCCGGTAGTTAATTTTGAATTGGAGCCACCAATGTTGCAACCTTCTGTGAATTGCGGGAAAGCCCTAATTATTATTTTAATGCAGCGCGGTATCCATCCACACGCGATGTTGATTGTACGTCGAAATGTATCACTTGGTCGGTCGAGCATCTCACTAATCAGTAACACCACATATCAAGTCATACTTCGTCAAGGTAAGAGGCTTCGAAACGACAAAGAACATGGGAAGTCTGTCGTCGAGCAAAGCCACAATGACAAAGAACGCACCACCAAACTGTCTGGGCCGATCCGAGTCTTATACTTAGGAGCAATAGGTTGTGAAGTTTCAGAGTCTATTTCCTTCAAATCCGAACCCGCATGCGTGTGTTTCCACGTCTTTAATCACGTGCCATTAACACAGGAGCATAGATACATTGGCAGACATCTCTAATTTTGGCATTTGTGGGTAGTTTTGGCAATCGCGCCAAATCCTATCTTTGAAAAAAGTCAAAAATAGATGTATCCGGTAAGGGGACGTTCTGAGCTTCGAAACTCCTTCTTCCGCTCTTTCACCTTAG